GGGTAGTATGATGTGACGGCGTGAGGCTCCTCGTGCGCTGTCCCGGGGACATGCCATTTGCGGGCGTGAGGCTCCTCGTGCGCTGTCCCGTGGGGACAGTGCCATGTTGGCGCGTGAGCTCCTCGTGCGCTGTCCGGGGACAGTGCCATGTGACGGCGTTGAGGCTCCTCGTGCGCTTCCCGGGGCAGTGCCATGTGACAGCGTGAGACTCCTCACGCGGTCGATCCAATCCCAGCTTTCGATGACTTTCCGTTGTGCACGTTCGTCGTGGCTGTTCAAAAGTCGAGCATCGAAAGCCACAAACCGTAATGATGCTCGCTGCTCGCTTCGGACCAGGTCTGCTGGGCTTATAAGAACAGGGCGGACCGCTCTCTGGACTTTGAGGAGCTTCGGTCTCTCTTTACGCGGCCTTGGCGGTGCTGCGTGTTCTGAGCTTCAGTTATATGGAAGTCGATACAGTGGTGCTCAAGGCCAATCTGTCCTACTCGTCTGGCTCAGGAGTTAATATTTCACAGTGGGCTGCGCTGCACGCGTTGTGTAGTAGCCTTGGCCTGCCGCGTTGGCTGGTGTCGCGCTCGCTGGTGCCGTGCTGGCTGGTGCCGCGCTCGCTGTTGCCGTGCTCGCAGGTACCGCGCTCTTTCGCGCCGCGCTCGTTCGCGCCGCGCTCGCTGGTGTCGTGCTCGCTGGTGCCGTGCTCGCTGGTACCGCGCTCGCTGGTGCCACGCTCGCCGGTGCCACGCTCGCTGGTGCCGTGCTCGCTGGTACCGCGCTCGCTGGTGCCACGCTCGCCGGTGCCACGCTCGCTAGTGCCGTGCTCGCTGGTGGCGCGCTCGCTGGTACCGCGCTCGCTGGTGCCACGCTCGCCGGTGCCACGCTCGCTAGTGCCGTGCTCGCTGGTGGCGCGCTCGCTGGTACCGCGCACGCTCGCGCCGCACTCGCTGGTGGCGCGGCCGCCGGCTGCCAGTGCTCACTTTCCATTCGTGTCGCGGCGCTGCTCCTGTTCTAACGGGCGGCCCGAGTCCCACCGTCCATCAGCGGCTGCATGCGCTTTCTACGTGTGTGCTCTGACCCGGCGGGAGCCCGCCGCACATTTGTCTCGCAGCGCATGGCCCGCGGTGGGGCCGGGTCGGCCCGCGCCGCCAGCCGGCTGTAACGCTGCGGTTCACCGCCGGCTGGAGGAGCTGCCGGGGCCGCCGGGGCCATTCCGCTCCTCTCGGTCTCTTTCGCAGCCGGCGCGGGCCGGTGTGGGACCAGGCGTCAACTAGCGGCCGGGGTGTTCTGAAACGAAAGGGAGTCTTGAATCAGGTGGCGGCGGGGCCCGCAGGTGGTGTGTGTGGGTGCCGGGCTGCATCGGTGCGTTGCTCAGTCTGGCGTGAGGATTTGGGGGTCGAGGTTCGCTGCGCTTCTGCTGACACGCCGTCTTGTGGCACTGGACTACTGCGTCATTTGAACGTGGGCGTGTAGATAATGGCTGCTGTATCACGAGGTATTTTTTGCTTTCTGAAGCCGGCGGCGTCCTCTCTCGTGGTTTCCAGCGCCCTCCAGGGGCGGATCGTCAGCCGTTTTGAATCGGCGTCTACGCACTCGCATGTTCAAAGTCCTGCTTCTGTCGGCTGAGGGTTTCGCGCAGGTGTCCTGCTGCCCGCTGGTGTTCCGAACCAATCACGTGCCGTGATTACTTGTCGGGCGTGCCGCGGCCCCGGCTGCTCGCTTCCCACGACACTCCGCCTTCAGGGAATCGAGTGTGCGGGGTGGGCGATCCTGGGCAGAACGGCTCTCCCGCTGCTGGTCGGCCTCGGCGGCTGGCAGCGGGCACTAACTCCGATGCTGAGCCACCGGACGGTGCCGGCATGCTCCACGACCGGCTGCTGCGCGTCTCCCTCGAACTTCTGCCGGCGCTGGACACGGGCAGGGCTCTGCACCGAGCATCCGCCGCATTCAGCATATCCATTCAGCGCATTCAGTTTCACTCCGGTACATTCGGCATTTGCGGTCTTTTTCCAGGTCGCGGCGTTTTGCTCTGGTCTAGCTGTTAGTTTGTTTGATCTTATTGAATTCTGAAGTCGCGATAACTTGTTTGCCTCGCGTCTGGACGTGATTCTGCATAATGTACCCAATCCCGAGACGATGGCCATAGCTGAGTCAGCGTCGGTGACGAACGCTTCCGCAACGTCCAGGACTGAGGTTGACAGTGCCGGTGACAAGTGACGCCGCCGAGTCCGTGGCCCCGTGACCGCCACAGCGTCGGCCACGCAGGCGGTGTCACCTCTCACCGACACTGGTCGCCGCCTCTCTCAAGCTCTCACGACGCCGGCCCGCGCCAGAGCGTGCCTCGCCGGCGCCGGTGACGCCTGGCAGCGTCGATGGCGGACGGCGACGCGCGACGTGCCGCCGACGGCCGGCTGCCGCTTCTGCCGGCGGTGGGGCCGGCGCACCGGCGCGCCGCCGCCGCCGCCGCGCGCGCCGGCAGGAGGGCCGGCCGACTGGCGCTCAAGTCTTGGCTGCCGTGGACGGGCGGCCGGGCGGCGGCGACCGCGGCCGCCGGCCCGGACGGTCCCGGCGCGCCGCCCAGCCTGCGCGTCGTGCCTCCCTATGCCCTGAGAAGGTACGTCGCCGCCGACTCGGGGCGCGCGCCGCCGCACCGACGCCGCGCCGCGCCGCTAGAGGGCGCCCCGGGTCGGGTGGCGGAGCGCACACGCTCGCCCGACCGGCCGGGGTGTCGGAACGCGCGCGTCGCCCCGAGCGGATATTGATGTCAGTTACGCCGGCTGAAGCGGGCGTGATGACGCGCGATTGCGGCGAGTGCTGGCGCGCTCGCGGCGCCCGCACGCCCGGCAACAGCGGCGCCGGCCGCGCCCGACGGCGGCATGGCAACCGACGCCGCCGGGCCGCGGCCGCGCCGCCGTATGTGATGACAAATGGCCCGTGCCCTCGCTGCTGGCGGGCGTCGGAGTGGGCGCGCCGCGACGCCACAGGACCGTGTGTGCGTCGCGGATCGCCGCTCTGCTGCCGCCGCCGCCTCCCCGGTTGGGACACGCGCTCCCGGTACGGCGTGGAGCGGGCTGCTGCTGGTGGGCTCGCTGCCTGCGGTTGGGCCTGCTACTCTGCTCACGCACAGTCGTCGAAGTCAAAGAATTTGGGGGCGGGAGAAAAAAGTCCTCGGGATCGACCGCTGTGTTGAACTGCCCGCGGATTTCTGCGGCATGTTTTTGCCGAAGTGCCCGCGGATTTCTGCGGCATGTTCTCGCCGAACTGCCCGCGACTTACCGCGGGACATTTTTTCCCTCCCCTTGCCCTACTGACGTGGAACTAATGGACCGGTGCTGTCAGTGCGAGCTGCAGCCGATAGCCATGAATGTCACGACCCAGATAATATATGTTTGGTGCCCTGAATACTACTGATGACGCCATAGGTCACGTCAAACCGAGAAGTATCCACCCAAGTACCGTCGCTTGCGAGCTGCATTTTGAACCCAGTTTGGCTGTCAAAAACCTGTATATGCACTGTTCGATGCCTTGCTACTTGCTAGTGTACGCCGGTCTAGTACATTGGGAGAGCCAATTTCAGCCCGATGCTATCGCTAGATCAGATCGTTCCATAGGCTGGCTTATAGTGCTAAACACGTTTGGTGGGTGAACATTCACCAGGATGTTGCTTATCAGCATTGCTGTATAAATATTAGTTTCAGAAAACGGGTGGCGGTCATATATATATATATATATATATATATATATATATATATATATATATATATATATATATATATCATAACGTCACTCCACCATACGTCATGTCGTCACGTCACCATAACGTCACTCTGACGTCACTCCACCATAATACACACACGTGTGTATTATGGTGGAGTGACATCAGAAGATCAGGAAGCTTACCAATAGTCGACTGACTATTCGGGCCGAACCGACTACACCCGACTGATGACTCAGTCCGGATTTAACTTGTAAGTGGTGACCTATGATGGCTGTAGCTTATCTGTGAACGTACGTCTTTATTCTGTATGTCAAGCACGGGGAGGCTTTCACACAGCATGCAACAGCTTGAGACAACAACTCAAAACAGCATCTTGTTTCTGTAATGCCAATCTCATGTTGGGTGCTAAGGATGACACCAGGTCGGCCCAGGGTGTCTTGTTCGACTGGGTGCAGCTTGAGTTTGCCTCAGGTATTTCGTATATGGACATGACTTTCGGTTTGTTCGGAAACTCTATGTTTGTCACCGTAAAATGTTATGCCATTGAGGCAAGGAAGAACCTTATCAACTAATGGTGATGATTTAGAAGTTTGGGTGGCTGGTTTCGATCTGTGTAACCTCATGCAATGTGTTTGGCTTAATTGTGACGGGGAGGGTGGCGCTACACGGCGACCTCTACCAAGGAGACGAACAAACATCCAAAGCCAATGCCCATGACAATGCCAATGGCGGCATTGTGGCACGGTCTAGCATTCCCTAAACTGTCATCATCGACATGGCTTGGCATAGGTTGATGCAGTTTATGACTTTGAACCTCCTTTAGAGTTACTGAAAGTTCCAGGCTGCTTTCACAGTGCGCTTGTAATTTATACCGGAAAATGCAAGCTGGCTTCGGGGGAAAGTTACAAAAATACTTGGTAGCATCTTGCGGGTGGGAAGCGAGAGGTAAAAAGATTTAGATTATTTGTATAGAAAGTTGGGAAATACCGGATTCTAGCGACGATTCACCCTACAGGCTTCTGTGATGATTAAGGAGTTATAGGGCGGAAGTTAATACGTTCGTTAACCTAATTAGTGAAAGCAGAGGCCTGCGTTCCATTGCCAGTTATGCTCTGACTTTCTCTCCACAATTTCACTGGGTGTGGGGCTCTGGAGATTGTTGACGAGCTGCGTATGCGTGCCGTGGTCCCACCGTGCTCCCATGGCCTATGACCCACGCGAGCGTGTGACCGCCCGCCGCCGGACCACCCGCGCCGCGCCCCACTGACGCCAGACCGGCGCGCCGCCGCAGGTGGTTCCACCCCAACATCACGGGCCTGGAGGCGGAGAAGATGCTGAAGATGCGTGGCTTCAGCGGTAGCTTCCTAGCCCGGCCGAGCAAGTCGAACCCGGGCGACTTCACGCTCTCCGTCAGGTGAGGGGCCGGCCGGGTGCCTTCACGCTCTCCGTCAGGTGGGAGGACCGGCCGGGCGCCTTCACGCTCTCCGTCAGGTGGGAGGGCCGGCCGGGAGCCTTCACGCTCTCCGTCAGGTGAGGGGCCGTCCGGGAGCCTTCACGCTCTCCGTCAGGTGGGAGGGCCGGCCGGGAGCCTTCACGCTCTCCGTCAGGTGGGAGGGTCGGCCGGGCGACTTCACGCTCTCCGTCAGGTGGGAGGGCCGGCCGGGAGCCTTCACGCTCTCCGTCAGGTGAGGGGCCGTCCGGGAGCCATCACGCTCTCCATCAGGTGAGGGGGCAGCCGGGAGCCTTCACGCTCTCCGTCAGGTGAGGGGCCGTCCGGGAGCCTTCACGCTCTCCATCAGGTGAGGGAGCAGCCGGGAGCCTTCACGCTCTCCGTCAGGTGGGAGGGCCGGCCGGGCGCCTTCACGCTCTCAGTCAGGTGGGAGGGTCGGCCGGGCGACGGGCGGCGCCGTCGGACGCGTCGCACTCCGTTGCCAGCATGCAACCGGCGCTGGCCGCCGCTGGATTATTCAGGATAGGAGCGCTGCTATCTCGGACGATCTTGTCACGTGCCGTTTGTTTTGTTTTGCTTGTCAAATAGTCCAACGTCGCTGGTCCAGGCGATCGTGTTTTTTTCTTAAATTTGTGGGTAGTCCATTTATATGGGGTCGTTCTTTGTTTCCCAAACGCTGTGTATGCCATTTATGTGAGGTCGTGCTTCGTTTGCCAAACGCTGTTAATCTGAAATTTATCCATTCCTCGTCGTAATTGCTGCAGTGATCACGACACCCAGCCCGCCGCGTGTCCGAGTGTTTTGTGGTACGTGGGAAAGCTCGATGGTCCAGCGTACACGGGATCGTGAGTGGAACATGGAGACTTTTGGGCTTGTGCTCTGAATACATTTTGTTATTTTCTTTTGTCAGGAGTTTTCCGTTCACGTTATAATCATTCTGCAATGTGTTGGCCTCAGCATAGCCTCTATTGAAGACGGACATGCGGTAGGAGCACTCACCACGGGTGTTCTGGTTCAAAGTATTTCGAGCGATGACAAAGCGCAAAGCTTGTAATGCGTCAGGCGGTCCGCGATATCTGGAGTGGAAAGGCCGATTTGGGGCTCGGAATGGTTCAATTGCTACAGAAAATATAAAATTAGAAGAGAATGCGGGCGGGCAGTTTAAGGCGTTTAGTCCATCGGTCATAATGGTCCACACGTGAGCTCTTTAGTGAGCAACCAGCAGTAAAAGCTTGTCCTTCACCATTGCACCCCGTGCCGCCTGCCTTGTGATGCACCTCGTCCGCAAGAACGCCCACCGTTGGCAAAAAAGGCCGTGGCCACATGCCAGATGATTAAACCACTCAGCATCCACTGTTGCTGGAACTGCGACAGGCATGTGTTGGCACCCTGACGTTTTAACGTTGCTTGGCTTCCCCATTGTGCCAATGAAACGTCGGCCGCAATTGAGGCCGATTAAGAGTGACGTGCGTGATGCTTCAACTGCGGATGTACGAGTGCGCCATTGTTTTTCTTGTGGCAGACGAAATGATGAAGTGACCCACATCAAGATACAGAACACGGGCGACTTCTACGACCTGTACGGCGGCGAAAAGTTCGCCACGCTCACCGAGCTCATCCAGTTCTACATGGAGAACCAGGGCCAGCTCAAGGAGAAAAACGGCGAGGTCATCGAACTGCGACACCCGCTCAACTGTGCTGACCCCACCACAGAGAGGTCAGTGTGAGCCACCGAACTGACGAGAGACCCATCTGGGAGCGTGCCGAAAGACCACTCCGGGTTTGGGGCCATTAATTCCACCTGAAGACGTGTCAGGCTCTGGGGTGACCAACATGCCGAGAATCCGTCCGCCCGCAGCCCCGCCACCGAAAGGTCAGTCTCGTGGTCAGCTTGTTCAGTTCAGTTCACCCGGCCGAGAGCGAAAGTTGCGTCCGGGTTGACCCGAGGCCTGCCGCCAGGTCCGTCTGGCCGGCCGGGCCGCCGCGGCTCTGTCTGGCGACCATTCCACCGGCGGCATTACCATAGCATTCATAGCATGCGAGTCGGTCGTGCGGACGGCGGCTGGGGCGGTGTTTGTTCGCCAGGCGCCGGCGGCTGTGATTGGCTGCGCAGCGCCGGCCGACCCGCCCCGTACGTCAGCCCGCTCGGACGGGGCGGGGGACGCTCCTGACTCGTCCACTGGGTGGGCTGTGCACGGGGGGGGGGGGGGGCCGCGGGACGCGGGAGCTGTGATGGGACGGTGCACAGGGTAGGTCATTTGCCTACTGTCGGATTGACTCGTTAGCTGTCACCAGTTCGGAATTAAACACTGACTTGTCATTAGGTGAGCGACTCGTACCAGCGAAGCCACGCCAATGTTGTGATATTATGGTCAGTATTTGTCCCACGATATTGCAAATGGCGTGATGCCATGATCTCGTCATAGTTCCAACGTGATGGATGACTCAGATGATGTCAGTGCGCTAATGAACATTTTCCGCGCGTGGCCCTCTCTCGTTGAATGACTGGACGGTGGTGCACGGTGTGTTCCGTGCTTCCTGGCTTTGATTCCCGGCATGCCCGCCGTAAAGCTGGCAGGGGCTGACCGCTCTCGGTGTAAAAAGAAAGTAATAAATAGTCCTTTTCCAATCGCATCAATTCTCCTTGACAGTCACCGAAGCGGCGCTGCAAGACATGACATCTTGCGGATTGCGGTAGCTTTGTTTGCAAAACTCGCCTCCGGTGCTTTGAGATCAGAGTATTGCGAAACCAATAGAGCTGCACCTGACTTCTTCTGGAACCAGGGCACGAGCCAAATCAAAATGGCACAACAAGCAATCAGTCGAAGGCCTGATAGAGATCGCATTGAAACCGGCGACACGGAGACACCGAGAATCTGCAGAGCGCGAGCGGTCACCGCAATCACCGGCACGCTATTTGCGGTTGAGTGGTGGATGGGCGAGGGCTACAGTGTTTGATGTGTGCGTGGGGTGCACTGGTAAAACAATCGCCAAAAGTGCCCCATCTTTGTTGCCCTCGGTTGACTTTTCTTAAACGTCGTGCAGGTGAATGTGCGCTATTTATGTGAATAATTCACTTGGAGAACGCTTACAGGCTGCTTGTGCATGATCAGATCGGGCCCCCCAGTCCCAGACCATGGTGCACCATGCACACTCATGAATTAAGATGAGATGAGTACTGAAGAAAGGTCAGGCTGTGAGCCATGTATATGGAGGCCATTTTTCAGCCGGGCTCAATCTGGCGCAGTAGTTGTGTACCTTGCTATGCAGAAGTAGGGCCTCCCCCAGCCTAATGATGTTTGGGTTTAGGGGTGTCGTAACCATTTTTTTGGTTATTCAATAAAATAATAATTGGTTAAAAATAACCATTGGCTATTTTGTATTCCAGCCATGCCCCTTAAACTTTTAGGAAGAACATGGGCTTTAGAAAAACCCATTTGTGAATATATTTTTGTGGTACATTTTATTATTTCTCCCTTTGCAACCCTCCCCAAACACATTTCCAAACTTTGCATGTCCAATGTGCAGCATTGTTTTTGTATAGGCAACATGAGCTTTGATTTTAGCAGCATATCACATGAAGGACACAAGGTTAATTACAGCAGTTTGTTTATTCTGTCTTAACGCAATTTTGGGATAAGAACGTGAAAATATGATGTTGGAGAATAGTTGTTGATTTTTATTGCGGGCATTTCACATGCAAAGTAGTGGTGCTTACCATGGAGTGAAATACTCCATGTATTTGTTTCAAGATCACCTGGGGTGTGCTAGTGATCGTGACATCATTGAAGCACTCTCATAGGTAGTTACATCAATGTGTAGTGATTATGATAATCGAATACTATGAATGGCACCTTTGTGGTGTTGGTATGGAATGAGGCAATATTTCCCCCATCTACCTAGGTCATGTTTGCTAGCAGCTTATGGCATGGCTCCAGTTATGGCCTTTCTGTATGGCCAAGTTCAGGCCAGAGTGAATGGCAGGTTTTTCTTTATTTTTATTGGAAATATCAGAAATGTATTAAGTTAATGTCGAATGGATTAAACTGTTGCTTAACTTATTTCGATAGAAACATCGTGGAACATTTTTTGAAAGCATACACCTTATCATGGCAGCAAATGCTGCCTTCAATGTGCTGAAGTATGAAGTGGGAAGGACTAGATGCATTGATATTACAGGGTGGGAATGAGAATGCATTTTCCATGTTAGTGACCGATTGATCTGTGTTGTACGTCTGTGGGATGAATATTTTGTTGTGTGTGTGTGGCCATTGTAGTGTGGTGCGTTGCGTTACTAGTGCGCGTGTCTGGGCGCGCCTCTGCGGCCGACCGCCACGGTCAGCGGTCACCGGGACGCCTGCCGACTGATACCGGTGAGAGCGCGCGTATATCACACTGGTGGCAGCGAGTGGGGGCGTGCCAAATGGAGTCGAGGAAGAAATTGGCGTGGGGTGATGGGGAAGAGCTGGAAGACTTGTTGCGACGGTTGGATGCCTGTAGGCTGGCGGTGCGGGGACGAGAAGAAAGCGGTGGGAAGGCGCTTCTTGGCCTCGGTTCGCGGATTGCGGTGGTGGATGCGCCGTCAGAAGAGGACACAAGGGATGTTCGGAGCCTGAAGTCGGCGCTGCGTCGGGAGTTCGGTCCGTCCCAGAGCTGGTATCAGGACCGGCTTAGTCAGCGGCGTAAGCAGCCCTCCGAGACATACGATGCGTTTCTTTCCGATGTACTCTCTTTGTTTCGTATTGCGTTTCCTGACTCGGAACCTGACACGTCAGGTGGAGCCGCTCTCTTGAGTAGTCGGTTCTTGGATGGCATCTTATCAGATGTTGCGGCACAGTTACGTCTGTTGTATCCCAGCATTGACGTTGGTAAGATGCCGATACACGCAAAACAAATTGAGGAGGCTGTCCATCGCTCGCGGGTTAAAGTCAAGTCGAATTGTGAAGGGGTCTGCATTAGAGAAGGGAGCGGTTGATCATCTCCGGGATGAGGTAGCGGAGCTTTCTCGTGCCGTGTTTGAGATCCGCGCGGCTGGTCGGCTGGCGCTATCGCCGCTGGCGGCGTGACGTCATTCGGGGCCGGGCCTGTCAGTCAGCGGTCGGCTTAGCAGGGCGGGGGACCGCCACGTGACCCGGCCAAGGTCAGCTGGGCGGGCGGCCCACAGGAGCGTGCGCAGGGGGAGGGCGGTGGTGTGGCAGGGCCGGGCTGGCCGGCGCCCGGGTCGGGCCGGACTGGTTTGCGGGGCAGCCAAATGCGATGCTGGACATGTGGCTTTTCTGGCCACCGGCAGGTAGAGTTTACTCAGGCTCCATTGGGTCGCGGCCGGGGGCGACCGGCCCCCGCCGTCTGCTGGCGTTGTCGTGAGTTTGGGCACACTCAACATGAATGTCATCGGCCTTTAAACTGAGGAAGGTTACTACCCCGGGACCAGTGGTAACCGGACCTGAGGTCAGAGGTCTCCACAATTCGCAGGTCCGTTCGCTTCATGTACGACATGACGCCGGTGAGTCGCCACCTGTTGCAGTTAGGCAAAGAAGAACCCCGTATCATTTGAGACCGGAGGTGCGGAGGCAGATCGCTGACGCTGAGGCCCTTGGGCTGATCCAGCGTTCCGATTCTCCTTGTCGTCACCTATTTTGATGGTTAAGAAGTCGGTTCTTTTCGTTTCGCGGTGGACTTTCGTGTGTTAGAGGGCAAGACGATGGACGAGGTCTGCTACCTACCATCTGTCAAGGAATGCCTGGATAGCTTGGCCGGGTCCAGGCTGTTTACCACGCTGGACCTGAACTCGGCTAACTGGCAGCTCCCAGTGGTCCCGGAAGACCAGAGAAAAACGCCATGTACAACAGAGGACGGGAAATGAAATTCCGAGTGATGCCATTTGGGGCTAAGGGGGCGCCTGGATGTTTTCCTCGCCTGATAGCAGAGGTGTTGCGGGGCCTGATGGGAAACGGAGTTACTGCATATCTCTGTGATATCATTGTCGGTGGAAAACTGAAGAGGAGCACCTGCACCTGCTGCAAGCTGTGTTGGAGAGACTGAGGTGTGCTGGTTTGACTGTACAGAGCAAGAAAGTGGTGCCCTGCAGGCGGTGGATATGGTTCCTTGGGTACGTTCTGTCATCCCCAGGTCTCGAGCCAGATGCAGAAAAGGTTCAGGTTATCCAGAATTGGCCGCGACCACATACAACCAAACAGTTGAAACAGTTTCTTGGGCTTTGCAATTACTGCAGTGATGTCGTGCCACGTCTCCAGGTTGTGGCGGCTCCGCTGCATGAAATCTCTGGAAAGACCACGTTCCAGTGGGATGAACGGAAAGAAAGTGCTTTTCAAGAACTGAAACAGGCCCTCGGCACGTTCGCGCTCTTGCATTTACCAGACATGCAGCACGAATTTGAGGTCAGCACGGATGCATCGGATTTTGATTTGGGCTGTGATCTGTCACAGAGGGACCAATCAGCGGTCGACAGGCCGGCAAGTTTTGCCTCGAAAACCTCTTCAGACAGTGGAAAGAATTGGCACATTCGAGATAAGGGGGTGTTTGCTTCTGTTTTTGCTTTGAAGAAATTCAGACCGTACCTGCTTCGAGCGCGCTTCAAGTGGTTCACTGACTGCTGTGGGCTTCAATGGCTACGCAACACCAAAGATCCGAGAGGGCGGTACGCACGCTGGGTTGAGTAGGTTGAGGAGTTTAATTTTTCCATACCTTTCCGTCGCG